GAGGTGTCCACATTTTCAAGTCCCAATCCTCACCCAAGCCTTGGCTAATGGACACTCTGGTAAGAGGGTTTGCTACATAATTCATTCTCCCTCTCATACTAGAGACAGATCTGGCTAACTATCCCATATGAAAGACCCAAGCCTGGCACAGAATCAATCCTAAAATTCTCCTTGACAGCTCCCTCTCTCACTGTGCCCAGCAGAAGCTGGATACAGCAGTGAATCTTGCCCCCAAAATTCAAATTGCTAGCTGCTTTCTTTTCCTGGGAGGTATTTTACAAAGATGATTGCAGTTACAGGCATACAGAACACCCTCCACACTGGTTTCAAATGCACAATTTTGGAAAATTACAGACCCAGCATTTCTGTCACCCACAGCAGGAACTGCAAAGCAATTTATTTTCATCAACTTCATCTTATTAAAAACACTCAACAAAAATGCACTGACAAGTTGTATGGAAAATAAAACAAATTGAAAGACAGGGAGCATTTACAAGGTTATTCATTTTTGCTTGCTATCTAGAAGCACCAGGTATAATAACGGAAACGAACAGGGGAGAACAGTTGAAAAAGATTTGTGCCTATGACAACTCAAGGGACACAGAGAAGCACAGCAACGATGTATTCTGATCTTACAAAGCCCCCAACGTGACAGGAGTGAGAAGGATGACAAACACATTCCCCAGTGGTCAAGTGCAAGAAATAAATGCTGCAGGGATCATTCCACAAGTACTACGTGGTTATGTTGCAGCTAGGATTCCTGAGTTTGGATTTGCAGCTGATCACCTGCCAACCCTACTCCCTCCAGTATGATGCAGGTTTTTTTAGGATAGCCCCCAACTAGGAGATTTTCGATTAAGCAAGGGCATAATTCAGCACCTGCCTCCATCTCTGTGCAAGCCAATGTTTTGCTGGCGCATTTTATGGCACAGTAGTAGTACACATGTTCTTTCCAAACAGGCCAACAAAAGGGGTTTAAACATTTCCAAGTGTTGCACTGGTTCTAACTATCACTGTACAGCTTACACAATCCCCACCGGATGCTGTATATCTGGATCTATCCATCTATCTGTGTATGTGTGAGTGTGTCTGAGTGACTCCATAAAAAAAGATAATACAAACTCTGAAAAGCCAAACAGAAAAAGCAAAGGAAAGAAAGAGTG